AATCAATATTCAAATCTTTATAAAAACTTGAAAATAACTAGAATAAAACCTGAAAAATAATAATTTATCATTAAAATTATATGTTAAAACTTAATATTATAAACTATAATTTTTTATTAATAATTTACAAAAAATTTTAAAAAATTATTTTTTTCTTTTAAAACCTGTAAAATAATTATTTATATTTTAAAATTTTTTATTATTATCTTATAGAATTTAACATTATAAACAAGTTTAATTATCAGTCATTATATTTTAAAACCTTTAAAAAAAATAATTAATTCTAATAGAATACATGCTAAGAAATCTTTTTTATTATAAAACTTTTTTTGATTTTATATGTTCAAAAAAAAGTTAAAGCATATTTTTCACATTCTTAATGTCTGCTTATTTACCATTTGTAGCACAGTATTAGATGTTATTTGTCAATTATTTTTGCGTTCATCGGATTGCATGCGAGTTAAAATCAGGTGATCAATGATTAGCATACGTAATTAAGGGGCGTGCTATTTATCATGTGATTTTTAATAGAGCACGATGTACTATACTGATCCTACCGCGTGACAAAAAGTCACGCACTCGCGTGATTTTTTACCTAATTAACTCGAATTTTGAATAAAGGCAAAATTTTTATAAAACATGACATCATTGGAACATTCAAAGAGTTACGAGATCAGTGAGCTCAAATAGAGAGCTAAGCTTAGGGAGAAACTCACACAGGCCGATAATTGCAAAACTAAAACGGATCATACAAAAAAAGATAAGAATGAGAAAAGCTTAAGGCTAGAGTTACGAAGTTGGAACGGGATATGGAGGAAATCAAGAGTGGAGTCATTATCCCCACACCTCCGGATCGAACCTCATGAGGTTTAGCAGAATCAAATGTTAATGTTTCGCAATCATCCACTCCATCACCTATCGAGGATCACTCTGATGGGGAGAATGAACCGATCACAGAATCTTTAACTCATTATGGAGCAGATCACTCTGTGGATAGTACTGACTCCATACCGTCAGAGCAAAATCTCGTTAATACTTCTGAAAAGATAGTTGATACAACTACTAATGCATCTAACTCCAATATAAAGTTTAAATCATTAGAAGAAAAAAGACTGACGAATTCTTAGATTTGAAAGATAAGGAAAGGAGAAGGGATGAAATAAGGCAACGCAATAGGGAGAAGAAGCTTCGAAATCAAAACTTACCTTCAAACAATGCTTCTTCAAATTCATCTGAGTTATCATGTAATCTCAAAAATCCTCTCTCAGATCACGACAGAATTCAGAATCGTCTATAAAATTACAGGCCTTTAAAGGGCGAGACTATGTCATCTCTAGTAACCCCGACTTATCAGAACAAGCTTCTACAGAACGAAATACCAACTTGCAAAAAGTAACCTGTAATCAAATTGGTCTTTCTATATGAAAAAACATGTTTTGCGGAAATTAACACTATACGAGTCAAACAGGAAGAAATCACAAGCTGGTATCAATACAGAAAGTATTTTGAAAAAAGACATAGTGAGATTTTACCTGGAATCCAAAAAATGAACTTGCCACGAATCAAAATATTAAGAGAGCCTACGAATTAGCGAGTGGGCAGATTTATGATGAAATGTTACAGTATCTTTCAGACGTCTCTCGTGTAAATTTGCGCAAAAAACCCAAAGAATTAACCTATATATAAATTATTTAACGAAATTGGAGAAGGTAAGATTAAGCGAATTAAATCTTACAGCGCAAAATAAGCTCTCAAAATTAACTGACATGCAAATTGATACGATTAAGAAGCATTTCTTTACAACTGATACCCAACCGTGTGACAAAGTCACGTACTCACGTGACCAAACCTTATGACTCGAACAATTTACCAAAATCTGGGGTAAGTGCATCACCCGAGAAGAAGGCTTCACTGGAAACTGAGGCAAGTACACCTACTGAATTTCAGACCTCCGATGATGCAGAACATCGAACCTCCGGTTCTTCTGCTTCAAAAAATTTATCAGGAGCCAAGGTAAGTGTGCACCACCTACGACTCAAACCGAAGAGAAGAAACCATTGCATTAACGTGCCAAATAATCCAAAGAAGGACCGCTCCCACATTATCAAAACGGCATTGGAACAGTTCTCTTACCTATCTTTGCAAAATAGCAATAGATATTTTGATACGTACCAATTCAGTGAATTCACTACTTCGTCATCATCATAAAGAATCTATATCGGGTGGATATAAAGAAGGATCTTATTATATTAATTGTTTGTTCCTACATGCAAATCATCAGCCTGAAAATAGATATTATGTAAAGTTGATGCTCGAGTTGCAGAATCACATTCAGAGACTCTGGTTTTGTTTTTTCGCATCAAAATGTTCATGGATGCCACAAATTCAGGAATAGAGATAACAGCCGAAAAATAATCCTTCGTTTGATGGCACATGATCGAATTATTTTGACCAATAACTCGTAATTGGTCATAGAAACCAATAATCAATCAGAAAAGTAACCATATCCTGCTAATCTCTCGGTGGGGTTTGTCGTTCAGTTGAATAGCCAAAGTAGGTTCTATAATAAAATAGCCTAACGTTTGTACATCTCGCATGCTTTATATCTGGCATAACTTTGCTTCATTCTCGCTCGCGTCGTGTCATATTTGCTAATAAGATCGAATACTTACTTAATCTTGTGCTTTTCTTTCTTATCGTCAAACACCGCCAAAAAAACACATTCACGTTACCGTAGAACAACCCGTTACCACCGGTGAGTTGTAATAAATTTAGTCAATGAATGTGAACGCGTCTTGGCTTGATTTTTGATAGCCGTGTTTCGTTCTTGTCTACGTGACGTCATATTTAATAATATCATTTCCTAACCAATAATGTTAATTCTTTTGTGAACAGGACAAGATGATTTCTGATTTAATTTCTCTGAATAATATACGTCATGCTAGAGGCGTCGCTCTATCCACTAGGTATGTTATTCATCCGGTCCACCAACCATTTCTGCAAACGCCATTAACGATTTGTGTTTAGGTACTTTAACGGGAACCGAAAAGGGTAAATTGGTGATAGAAAAAGGAACACATTAACTTTTCACTCGACTGGACCATGATGAGTAGCAAAAAAGTGGACAAGGAAGGTTTAAAAATCCGCCTAACAAGTTCAAAAATGCAAATCCTAGTGAAGATAAAACACAATACTTTATGAGCGAATGCAGGGCACTAGAAGATTTTTCAAATATAAGAACAAGCTTATTATTGTAGATACGCCTTCTTCACCGTCACTAGGAACTTGAAAACCGGATTTCGTATTCATTCCGGATGGTTCACATTTAGATACATGTATGTTAAATGTTGCCATTGTTGAGATAAAGAAGCGAGTCGGTGAAAATTTTACCAACGCACATATAGGACAAGCAAATATCATTCGGTGAAAAAGTACTCCAACTTCAGCCACATCGAAGCTTTGTATATGTAGTGTCAACAGACTGTATTGTAATTAATAGCTATATATAATGATTAGGGTAGACCAAAAAATTAACTCAAATCCAACCATCCAGTTCAAGTATCAATACATAGCACCCCAGAAATTAGAATACAACAACACCTACCATGCTGGTAATACTGGTAACGATTATGGAAAGCTCTCCGAAAGACTTGGGATGGGTCGAACCATCATTAAATTCGGCGATGAAACTGTAAGGCTAGTTCGATCCATTGGTGTGGGTAGAACTAGTTTTGTTAAAGGGATACACAATAGTGTACCTGTGACTGTGAAAATGGCAAAAAAGACGAATTATTTGCCTTGTTTGAAAGAGAAAGTGTTGCATTGAATGTACTGTCAAATTTTAATTCACCTCATATTCCAAAAATCCTTTTAAAAACGAGGACACTCTTGTTATGTCTCCACTTGGTGAGAGAATTAATGATTTGCGAAAAAAGGATATTAAAGATATCATCACCATTCTCGAAGAAGTGCAATCACGTAAAATTGTACATAGGGTCCTTCGGAAATATAATTTTCTTCGTGATTCAAAGGAAAACATTCTATTATTGATTGGGGTTATAGTACATTGAATAATGAAAATACCAAGCTTGCAGGAGCACTTGAGTGTATGCTGGATGAAATCCTGACATCAATAATTGACGAGAAAAACACTGTTTATGAGCAGAAAGTTGTTTTGTTTTGTTTTGTGCAGTCATTCTATCTGATGCTTCATAGACCATCAATGGAGAGGATTGCCTTTGATATAAATGATAATATCAAGGTATGAGCACAAGCAATGTTAAATTTTTGGAAAGATTGCAGAAAGTCAGCCATGTAGAACAGCATTTATCAAGCAATAGATGGCTTAGACTACGACAAATTAATTTCAGATGATTTGGATTTGCTCATCGTTAATTTTTATTTTTCTTTTCTATGTAATCTTGTGTTATAAATTCACCTAATTGCTTAAAGATAGCGAAATTAATAATAAGACACTACCGGAACGATCTCCTAAAGTGCGGGTCACTTGATAATTTATTGGATCAAACAAAGAATGTACCTTAGCAAGAAAAAATATATCTTGTTTTTGTTTACTTTTAAATTTTTGTGTTACATATTGATCTTGCGATTTAATTGGTCATTATTTCTAACATCAAAAAAATATTATATAACTTGCACTTTAGAAGATTGTTCTTAGTCATATTTATAGTATCTTTTAATTGGTTACCTGATAAAAATAATCAAATAAAAATAGTCATTTCATATTATATTATATTTATATATCTATATTTAGAAATAGTTAACTATATAAAAAACTTAACTAGTTAAATAATTAATTGATTATTAATTAGTTAAATGATTAGGATTTTCAACAATAAAATTTTAATATAAATTGTGAAAATTCAATATTTATAAAAGAATTTAGTATGATAAACATATTAGTATTTAATGAAATTCTTAAGAGTATTTTTATTAATTTAATATTTTTCTACTATTTTAAAGATTTTTATATTTTTGAAAAGTTTTTTAATTAATGAATCTTCAGAAATTATTATAATAGTATTATATTTAAAAAATTTTATTTATTATTTTTAAGTTTTTTTAATTTTGTATTTTAAAAAACTTTAAAAAATATATAATTTTAATAAAGTATTAAAGATTTTTTTTATATAGCACTTTGATTTTTAAATATTAAAAAAAGCTAGAACAAATCTTTAGTTCTATTAAAATACCAAAAAGAATATATTAATACTAATAATATCTAATAAAACTATTTTTTATAATAATAAAAGATATCATAAAATCTTTTAATTAATTAAAATAATAGCTTAAATTATATAAACAAATTCTATTTTGAATTTTAAAGATAATAATTTAGTCATAATAAAAAAATTTATGAAAATGAAATTATACATGATTTTTAATTACATGAAAATTTCTGAACAAAACTAATATTAATTATAATTATTTAAATAATATTTATTATTCTTTAAAGTTTGCTTTACAAAAAATAATTTTATTATAACTTAATATAATTAAAAAACAAGCTTTTTATATTTTGTTTCCCAAGTATTCTGTTATTTATAAACTTGCAATATCTCTTAATATTTGTTAATTACTTTTTTTAATTATTTAACTAATATATTAAAGTTTTTATAAAAATTATCATTATTTAATTCTCATTCTTATAATATTAAAATAATTTTCTCATCTTTATAATATTAAAATATTATCAAATAATTTTTTGTACTTTTTAAATTGGTTTCATTTTTTTTTAAAATTTTTTGAATATTAATCAAACTGATATTTTTTTTAACTAAATTAATATTTATTATATTAATTCAAGAATTATTTCTCAGATCAATAATTAATGATCCATTTTTAATAAAAATAAAAAAAACTAATTATATTATCATATTATTTTAAAAAATCAGAAAAAATTAGTCATTTTTTTTAGTAATGAAATATTTATAAAGAAAATATTAACTATTTAGATATACTAGACAAGAACAAATATAGTTATTTATATTAATATAATATCTTTTCTTTATTTTAGATTATATTTCTATTATTATTAAATTAAATTAATTTTTTAAAAGATTGTTATCAAAATAGAAACTTATAATTATCATTATAATGAATTAATTTGATTTCAAAATCCAGTATAAATTATTTAGTAAGAATATAAATAAGTTAATCCAAATATAATTATATTTATAATTATATTTTACAACTTATTAATAACTTTTTGTAATTATTATAATATGAGCTAAAAATATGATTGCTGTATATAAAACACATGCAAAAAATTTTAAATTATTTTTATTATATCAGTTTATTTATAAATAACTTCACAATTTTGTGTAATTTTTTAAATAGCAGAACTAATATATTTCTTTAATATAATGATAATATATTTCTTTTTAGTTAAAAAAGTATTTTTGAAATTGAAATAAGAGAATATATATTAGCATGCCTTTTAATTATATTTATAAGTTCTTTTTTAAATTTATCTGAATAGATCAAATTAGTATTAATGCTTGAAATTTAAAATAAATCAATAAAATCAAATTTTTAATAAGTTTTCAAAGCTTTAGTGGTGTAAGTTTTTGTTTTTAATTTTTTTTAATTTTTTATCAATAATATATTCAAGATATTAATAATAAAACTAAATATTTATTATTCATAATTATACTTTACTTATTACTAATATCTCTTCTGTATTCTTATTCATAAGAACAAAAATTAATTTTAATTTTTTTGTCAAAGTTTAATAAAAAAATATTTATAATACTTTGATATGTAATTTTATTTCATTTTTTGGATTATTTGAAATTTCTCAAGTATTATTATAAATATAAAAATATAAATATAATATTAATATTCTATATTCTTTGTAATTTATATTTATTACAAAAAGTTTGAATTACTTCTGATTGATTTAAAAGTTGAATCAATAATAACTTCAGTCACAGTAATAAGATTAATGAACTTAATCAAAAATATAAGAAATTTTATAATCTAAATATAATTATTTTGCAAAAAGTAAAAAATTTTGAAATTTTTTTCCTGAAATTTAGGTTGCTCAAGAAATTTTTTTGTTAATAAAAATTGATTTTCTTTGTTTAATATATATATATTCTTTTTATATACTAATATTTAGTAATATACTTATTTTTTATATGTATCTTAAACTTAATAATTATTTCTTTATAAAGATACTAATGTATTTCTGTATTTTGTAAATTTAACATTATATTATTTTTAATTTATTCTTTTATTTTATTAAAAAATTCAACTTATTAATATATTGAATATTTATATAATACTTGATGATTAACTTGAAGAGTAATATATTTTTCTTTTAAATTTATTAAGAGTTTAATATATCTTATACAATTATATTTTTCTATAAAAACATAAGCTTTACTTCTTTTTATTAATTGATTTTTTAATCTTTGTTATACCTATTTATTGTACATTATATAACTAGATATATTATATGGTAATTTATATATTCTATTTTTTAGAATTTAATTATGACTTTCATATTTTCAATAATAAATAAAATCAGATTTGATTGATATAAAAAATATATTAACAAGTTTTTTCTAATTATTGTTAGATCCTCAATATTCTGTTGATTTGAAAAGAATATTTTAAAAAGCTCAAAATCTAACTCAATCTTGAAAATAAATTCATTGAGTTCTTTAGCCTTTGCAAACTAATTTGATATTATCTGATAGATTTATATATGATTGTATCAGGATTATTTTTATATAGATTATTATGAAAAATATTTTAATCTGATATAAGCAGCTTTTCAGAATTTGTATAAGAAGTACTTATAATGCTTTGTAAAAGAAATGATATAATATTTTGATTAATTTATCTAAAGTTTTTTCTTCTGATTCTATATTCTTGATTTTGCAAGTAGCATATTTATATCATGAATTATTAGATTTGAAATGACAAAATTCAATTTTATTTTTTATAGCTTTATAAGAAGTATACTTTTTTGTTTCAGATATGTTTAGATATTTAGAAACTTATTAATATAATCTAATTTTATTAGATTTTATAATAGTGGAGATAAATGATATGTTAATAACTTTACAGAAACTTTTAGAATTAGAAAATAAAGTCTGGATATTATCAAGTTTTTATATTTTTTTCAAATCAAAAGTTGGATATTGCAAGACTATATAAGGAATTATTTTAAGACTTTTAACTTCGGGTGAAAAAATTTTAAGAATAATAAGACAAATTAATTTATTATTTAAATTTAATCGATAATTTAACTATTTCTTTTAATAAAAAACTAGTATTAGTTTTTTTTTGAATATATTATATTTTTTAACACTTAGCTTAAATAAAAATTTCTTGACTTGAAATGGGCATTGTAAAATCAATATCTCGATGATGATTTTTAAAGGCCGAAATAATCATTAAGAATGGAAACGGTCGTAAATCACATGATATCAACTGCTATACATCGATTATCTGTCCGGAGATTTTCATGTTCTCGGAAATCACGTGCAATCTCGTTTCCGTAAATTTTTCTTCGCCATGGCTAGGTTACTATTTTAAAAGAATGTTACGTACATGTGTTTGATTGGGGCTGTGGACGATCAAAATTATGCTGAATTTTGGCCAGCATTATGAAAACTTGAGAAAAGTGTAAATCTATACATTACACCTCTGGTAAAAATTATGCAAAAATTAAATCGATACGTAAATTGACAAAGCTTGACTTGACCTACTGTTTTTATGGTTTAGTTTGCCAAAATTTATTTATCAGACGATTTGTCATTCGTCACTTACATTTCCAAAGTGACCATGGCGAAAGGTTTCGTGAAATCAATGTATTAGTTCATTCCAAAATGGTCATGATCGTTAGACATAATGAGTTAGGGCTGTGACAGATATTACGTAATATTCTTAGGGGGGAGGTGTACTGACAGTGTCTTATGTAATATATAGAGTCACATGCTTCAAATATCTTACCTGGGAGAGGGGTGGCCTCTATGGTAAACTTATATTACTTAATATATGTCACGGCCATTACGAGCTAGTATTTTCGTCATTCTTCAGACATTTTCAATATGCTCGTGACGAAAGGTTTCGTCATCGTCAAGTATCACTAACCAGCTCTAAGAGGAATCATTGTATACATATTTTTCTTATTTATTATAGAAGTTGTTGGCTTATTACCGTAAAGCGCATAGAAAGTTAAATTTAATTATTTGCAGAAAATAATTGGATTTACTAAAAAAAATTGTGATTCAAATTTTTACAAGAGGGGGATACTATATAGAGCACTTTACGGTAATTACACATTCGTTGGATTGCACATGATCGAAAATCATGTGATTAATGAATAGCAATACAAGTGGTTTTTTTGACATGTAAAGTTTGATTTTTATTAAATTAATAAAAAAAATAAAACTTTAACTGAAATTTCTTTGACAAAATATTCTCCAAAAAAAATCAGTTAATAAATAAAGTAACAAGAATAAATAAACTCAATGTTTTGTGAGTTATCATAATTTTTACATTTTTTAAAGTGTGAAACATTTTGTGAAAGAAATTTCAGTCAAAGGTTTTATTTTTTTATCATTAATTGAATAGAAAATGAAGTTTTGCATACATAATTTACTACAAACTGATATCTGTGCAATTATTGTGCGCGATTTTTGTCCATGTAGTGTATGTTTTACAAACTTAGCTTCACATATGTTTAGAAATATAAAAACTATAATTCATTTAAAAATATTTTGCAAGTAATTTACAGTCAACTCTGTTTATAACGAACTGACGATTCTATTATATAGTAAAAAATTTCGAAAAGCTCATTATATCAAATTTATATAACGAACTCACAATAAGTTTAAAAATTGAAAGTTCATTATATCCCGAATTCGTTATAAAAAGGTTCATAATAAACAGAGTTGACTGTGTCCATTAATCTATGTATCTATGTTCATTCTCACGCCAATAGGTGCGCCAAGTCTACCGTAAAGCGCTCTGTATAGTATCCCCCTTTGTAGAAAATTTTAAACCTCAATTTAACCTCGAGGCTATTAAACCAGCGACTAAATTTTTAAAAAACCGCATAGTGAAATCTAATCTAAATTTAATTATTTGCGGAAAAAATAATTGGACTAAATTGTATTTCAAATTTTTTACAAGAGGCTGATACTATACAGAGCACTTTACGGTAGTCACATCAAACGTGTTTTTGGCTTTTATTAATGAGTTCTATTCTTTAAAAGTCAAGAAATGTTTGACGTGACTAAACTTGGCGCACCTACATCTTTGCCTTAACGCACCCCAAAAGTAAAATATTTCATAATAGTATTTAATATATGAAAAAATATATATTAAACGACTCCGTAACTAAAGTATATTTGCTAATATTACTTCAGAACACAATTGTGTTTTATATGTTATTAAATTAAAGTTGTATGCAGTTATATACTCGAACTTTATTAGCTTATAATAGTATAGAAAGTGGATATCTCCGATTTATGAGGTTCATTTATATATTATCAATACGCTTAACAGATCTATTAAAGATATTTCTTTTAATTGCTTAATTTAAAGTCGATTATCTTTCTTTTGATATACTAAAAAGAATTTCAAAATGTTAAGGTTAACCAAGTTATTTTTAACAACCAAATGTGATTGTTTAATTTGGAAGACTTTGTTATCTTCCTGTCGCTATTAAAATCTTTTTGTGATTTCGCAATCAAGAAAATTCCGATGATCACAAATGACATTTCTTACGGCCATATTTACAAGATTGTTATTCTTGGTAAAACGGGTACTACAGCACACTGTTCATGCAACGCACATGTAATCAATGCAATCAACAAATCACATACTCAACCGAAACCTCATGATTTGCCTTGAATAAATACATGTATTATGCGATCTGCAAACAATGCTGTACAACATCTCATCAGATTTTTCTTTCGAGTTTGATAATAGTCACATGATCTATTGAAATCCAAAGGCTATATTTAAAGCTATAATATATATTATATTAAAGCGAGCTTGTAGTTAGGCCAACTGTTTATATTGTAGATATGTGCCATTGAATAAATAGATTTTTCGTTGAAACGACAAAGAATTTTAAATCGAGATTTTAGAGCGTAGGAAAAGTTTCGTATCTAAACGATTGTATTCAAGAAATAGCAAATGTAAAACTATTTTTTATTTTCGCTTCCGAAATTGGTTGCGTTTCAAATGCTTTGGGGGATAATCTTTTGTTTCAAATGCTTTATGATTAGATACTTATTCTTCTTTCAAATGCACTAAACCATTTAAGAGGCTACAAACTTTATAAACTTGTTTGGAGAAAGAAAATTGAATCTTTTTGTTTCAAATGCTTTATTTTTAGAGAAAAAAAATCGATTCAAATGGTTTATGCTTAGAGAATCTCTTAATCTTATTGTTCTTTAAATTGCACTAAACCATTTAAGAGGCTATAAAACTTGTTTCTTTGTGCCTTGCATAACTATTATGCAGTGGGGGGGGGGGACAGCAAGAAGCATCCACTGAGGTGAAATTTTTAAAGAATTATATATAACTCGTATGGTTTACGTGAAACAAAAAATCCTCTTTAGCCACATTTGACCTAGCGACAATTTGGCTAAAGAGGATTTTTGTTTTACATATAGAACACGAGCTGCAACCTTCAAATCACACCTGAATGGATATTCCCATTGTAGCTGGGTATTTCTCGCGCTTGTAAAAACTTAATTGGACGATATAAATAAAAACAGACACTTAATCGAATTAATTGAATTTCAGATTTTTACGCCATATGTTCAAAATAAGCATATTCCAGATGTAGCAAATAAATTAATATAGAGCTTGAGTTGTGACTGTTAAAAACGCATCTGAATGTATGTCCCCACTGTAGTTGGGTATTCCTCGCGCCGGTAGCAACTTAATTGGTTGATATAAATAAAAACAAACAGACACTTAATCGAATTAATTCAATTTTAGATTTTTGCGCCATATGTGCAAAATATTCCAGATGTAGCAGATAAAATAATATCGAATTAAAAATCCAAGGACCAATAACAATTTATCAAAGTCAAGGTTGCCCTGAAATCTGCTTTATCAAGCTGGCTATTTGTTGAATTTTAAATTCAAGAAACATGCTTTTCTTTCTTATCCTTGCATATTCTGTATTATCAAAAGACAATGCTTTATATATTGATGCTATTGGTGATATTTGTCAAATTAAAGAATATATCCTTAGTTGGACAATAATAATAATATACCGATATTAAATTAAATTAAGTGAGAAAATAGTAAAAATGCACACCGATCAAAGATTCAATGTTTTCCGTACGAGGAATTCCGTTAGTGTGTGTGTGGCTAGTAAAACGTGATACATGTGCATCCACACAAATCATTATTTGGAAAGTTTAATCACTGTTTTTTTTTTAAATTTTAAGCTAACCAATTGCTAAAGATTGTTCATTTTTGTCCATTGTCAAAATAAAATATTTTAATTTTGTCTGTAAATGGAAAAGAAAAGAATAATTTATCATTCAATATGCGAAAATTTGTCAAAAAAAAAATTATAGCTTCTAACTCGAAAAAGACCAAATATTATTATTATAAGTGCAAATGCCAAATCCCTTTTAAGTAGGCGCGTCGTAAATTAACCATTTCTTTTTGTAATTGGTAGAAAATATTTTTTCCTCGCACAATACCAACATAGATTCTTGCAAATACTTTTTATGTTTTAATTGATTGCTGTTTATGTTAATTTGAATCGATGATCAAAATTTTGTCGTAATAACGATAACGCTTTTAAAATTAATAATTTGATGTGTTAATAATAGCAATAGGTAAAACCTGTTCCCCAAATATGAAAATTTGAATAAGGTAAATTGTAAATCTGTTCACGTTCAGTCATCAAGATGTATGTAACTGAGCCACACATCCGCCACCGAATTGTTCTTTTTCGGGTATATTGAGGCGGTTATCGTTATCATTGTTCAATGAAATTATGATCTACCGCCACGAATTTGAAAGTGAACACAAATATAAATATAAATAAATTATGTTCTTTATATTAAACTATTTCAACTAATCGATTTTGATCATGTGATACAGATCGGTAAATTATTTATAAACTCGATGTATTTTTTGTCCATTATTTCCCGCTGTTGGTTGTAACACATAGGCAACAAAAGTGAAAAAATATTAAAAATTCCTGGACTCAAAATCTTATTTAAACAAGAAGAATTTCACACGAAAAGTTTTTTTTTTTGCGCTCGCAACAACAAACGAATGTATACCATTCAATCTTCAAATAAAACAGTTGTCAAACAGACTGTTCTTAACGTCGCCAATTCATCCTTACCCGATACTCAAAATGAATCCGCTGTAGAATACACTTCTCATTCATTGAATTCATTTCCTACTTCCCCTTCTTTAATTCCGAATGAAAGTCTAATGAATGCTCAAGTTGAAATTATCAGGCCTCCATTCCCACCTTCTACAACCCTTGAAGAATTGGTCAGAATTAAGCCAAATGGTGATGTTCCTTCTAAACCTCCGAATGCATTTATCATCTATCGTGGTGCCGCAGTTAAAGAGCTTCATACTCGAGGATATAATCTTCAAATGACACGAATTTCTCCTCTAATCTCTAATGCGTGGAAAACTGAACCAGAAAATGTAACCTCTTATTATAAAGATTTGGCAAAAGGAGCAAAACGATTATATAAAGAAAGGTGGCCAAAGCGAAGATATAGGAATATCAAATGTCTCATCAACCAATCACAAACATTGACTGGTACTTCATACTCTCCATATTCTATACCTTTGCAACATCAACAACAGCCACTTCCACAAGAAATATCACAAAATTTGCCAACACCACATCCCTCTCCAGAATCAACAGATTTTATGAAACATGATTGGTTCTCTGAAAAATGGCCGGCTGCAGCAAGTAATTTATCTTCTTTATCATTGAGCCCAGTAGATTCAAATGTAAATGCATTTTTCGAAGCTACGATTGGAAGTCAAAGTTACTATACTGGAATCGATAATGATTCTGAATTTGAAGATATTTTCACAGGTCAAACTACTGAAAGCAACAATCTCATGCCGTCCACCGATTACTTCGACACTTCAAGCCAGACCACAATGCAATTTTCTCAAGTACGTTGGTATCCACAAAATAAAACGCAATATCATCAAAAAATGCGTAAGTGGCATAAATATTTGCGAAAGAACCCATATCGTACGATTGCAGACGCAAAAAAAGTTAATTTATTTAACTTTCACGTTGTTTAGAAGAAAATAAATTCAAAGAGGGGAACTTTTTATACTGGCTCGATTAAATTTTATTTCGTTTCTTTCTATATGTTATCTATCCTAAAAAGTACTCAACATAAATATCAAATGCACAATTTTACGTAAAAAATAATTATGCTACTTATACGTATATTCTATGCTGTTATATTAAACCAATTATCCAAATTACCATAAAAACTGTATGAAGTTTTATTTCTCGAAATATTTATGTCAAGCAAAATATAAAAAAAAATTTTTTCTTTGTTTGATCGATCAAAGAAATTTATGAATACAAATCTTTTCGCCCTATTTAAAATGTATACCATATGTCGTAGAATCACGTCATTAAACTTGTATCTATTCTATATTCGATATACGAACAAAATTGTATGTTGATCTACAGCAACCCATATAGCAAACAAAAAATTTTTATTCTATAAATAGACCTGGAATATACTCCCCACAACGTCACACTTGTGACTTGTAGATCTTTCTTTAACGAGAGAAGCTTCATCCGAAGAGTACTAACACGTGTCTTATTATCACGGATATCGTATAATTAATACATAATGGAACATAAAGACCTTGTACTTTAAAATTAGGTGAACAATTCACACATATAGGTTATTTTTTTAGACATCTTAACGGGTGGATCCATAGTGAGAAATTTTTCAAAAATGATTTCTAATTATAATTTTTAATATAATAATTCGTATTTGAACTAGAAGAACCAATGACTTTTGTTTTCAAGTCATATTATAGTCGAGGTTCACCTAATTTTTTTAATGAGAAATAAAGGTTCAATTACGAGAAAATAAGAATAAATTCTGAAAGATATACATCAATCAAAACTGTGTAACTATTAAAACAAAAAATGGATTTTTAAGGAATTTATATTAATAACTCAAAATGAAATTGGCAATAATCAATATATGGGGGGAAGCCAGTAGAAAAAGGACAAATCAATTTTTTTCAACAATGAATTTTTGCATCAAATATATTAATATAAATATATAGATCATATTTTGTAATTGTGAACACTTATTTTCATAATAAAAAAATTAGATCTGATCTCTCAAAGTTTTTATTTTATATAGATCAATTAATAACGACCGGAATTAAAAATCCAATTATCGGAAATTATAAATTTATCAATTTGTCCCTTTTCTACTGACTTCACCCCATATATATATTTATTTTTTCAAACAAATACATAGGTATTAATGGGAAGTTACCTTCTAGAATGATAATGGCTTGCTTTTTATTTTCATTTTTCCACCCGTTTGCTACGTTGTCATAATTGTAGAGAATCGAAAAAGACGTAATTAACACAGAAATTCGAATCTTGTTTTACATAAAAAAAAAACGGTTGTAACTCCGATGGGAAAAAATTTTTTATTGAAACACAGCGCTAAAGAAGTTATTTTAAAAATTGTACTAGCTAAAAAAAGTTGATAATCAAAGTGTATTATGCAACCGAAGTACTAATTCAAACCTGAATAAACCGAATTTTGTTCCAGGAACAGTTAGTCAATAAATCGAAGTTGGTTCAGAACACTTATAATAAACATGCCTCGAAATTTTCTAACCACTTCGGTTTAACGGGTTTTACTGTAATTTAAATGTCAGAATTAGGCACTCCCCTCAAGTATCTCGTTATCGTCAACCTAAATGGCAAAAATCAATAAATTTATGAGAATTTTGTTTTAATGTTTGAATACGCTTTTTCTAAAAACATAATGACTAAATTGGTTAATTGATTCACTTTGGAATTTACGATATTGCATGGTAATTTTTGTCAGCTGTTATTATAAATATGAATACAATAAGCGAAAATTTCATCGATACATGTCGTTTTTTATTAATGCTTATGTTTTTGTCTCTTGCAATTTAAAAATTTAGGTATTATGCAAATAACTTGGTAGCAAAACCGGCCGGTATTGTGTAAAGTCAAGTTAAAGCCCAAAATTTATGATAGACACTCACCAATGTTTAATGCTGCTCAAATTTTCATAACTCCAAGTGTAATGTATGATTCTGGCCGAAACTGCGGTGAAATGACTTTTGAAAATTTTAACCCACATACCGATCAACCTCTTTATAAGCACATGATTGGGTCACAAAAATTTGCAAATCATATTCCTATAGAGTAAGTTTTGACATAAATTAGTTAGTTTGTATATCTGTGAATTGAAAAGCGTCTTTTCTTAATAAATTGTATTTGTATATACATCATATTTAACAATTTTTATTCGAGATAAATGAGCGTGTAAATCAAGAAAAATACAAATTGAACATAATATACATAATATAATTGAGGCGTGCGTTCGTGCCAAAAGTACCAGATGACTCCGGTCTGCCTTACGCGCTGTACTGCGGAAAAAAATGGTGCTCACATCGTTTAATTTTGATAATTTTGGCCCGAACTATGGAATTAATACAGATACGATCAAACTTTGTACATTGGCGCAGTTTCTTGCTAAAAGTCCGTTGCATAGCAGAAAAAGTCACAAGAATAACCTTCGTTGCATATCAGAAAACTTAAAATCTCATTCCCAAGAAATTCGGATCTTTGTCAAACTCGATAATATCAACGAATTCAATGTATTCTTTGGCTTTCGATAAGATCTCACGATTAAAGTGAGAATACTGAAAGCGATGAGAGCGAGTACTAAAGCCAACTTTACGCACGATAGATTTCTCTCTCGCGTAATAAATTATCACAACCAAATGACCACTCCCAAACACATCAGCATTGCCAAATCCAATTTGTCGAATCGGTGTCTCTCGTGTTTGCAAGAAGATAGCCAACGAGTCTGCGCTAAACTCATTGAAATCAACTAAAAAGTAATTCAGACTTTTGGGCAAAATTTTCGCTAATTTGGGCCAAATTTCCAGAGAGATTGGGGTTCCACCATCAAGCGATTGTCGGATTATAAGTTGTTCAAGTTGTCTCAGTCCAACCAATGCATTCAGCAGGGAATTAACAGCTGATCCATCAATCACCACAGATAATGAGACAATATTACGGCTCGTTTCGTTAATCGAGTTAAATAATAAAGAGGAACATTCTTGCCGAACTATTAATTCTTGCAAGTTTCCTTTGGCATGAGAAATAATTGGAATTAAAACTTGTCCATTCAAATTTTTAACATTAAAATAAAGTCGTTTCAATGACATTGGCCCTTTTGCGAGCGACATCCACCATTCGTATGATTCAATATCGGATTCAACATCAGCTTGACAATCTTCGAAAATAAGAGCTTCGAGTACTTTGAAATACTCCAGATGTTCAAGATAAGTTGGTTCATCCGCAAAAAAGTGCAACGAATGAAAAAATAATGTTTTAATATTGTTCCCTTGCTTTTCCCTCAGTCCCGGCATCAGAATTTCACCATATTGATCAAGGAAATTAACGAATTTGAAATATCGGAGTGAATTTTGCAAGCTAACGAGATCCGTTAATTTTTGAGCGTTTAGCTTGTTGATATTTTGAAAATCGATCTCTATTGATTCTAGATCTCGGGTCATTAATTTCATTGCTGTGAGCAATTCCGTTACATTTGATATATCTTTATGTAAATAATTCCCTTGCCATCCGCAATACTTAAATATTTTCAAGTGGGCTAATGCTTTGGGCGCATTTGGAAACATTGTGAAATCAGGAACATACGAGATTACTTTAGTCTTTTCAATGTGGAGATTTTCGAAGGCCGTTGAAGTACGGAAAATCAATTGAAAGAATTTCTTTGATACAGAGATGACTTTGCTCCATAGAACAGCTTCAGTCTCTCGTGGAAAAGATAATTTCAGCCATTTTTCCACGGAATTTTCCAGTTTCTCAACGTTAATTTCTTTGATAAAGGTGCTATACTCAAAAACCGGACGCGATCTTTTTGATGCCTTTAACGAAATATCCAGATTTACCAAGGCAATCTTTTCTTGCTCATTCAGACAATTTATGAATGAAGGAATGATTAAAATCTGTGAACCGGAAGATAAGGATCTAAATGGATAACTCCAAAGAATTGGGACGATTTGACAACACCACTCGCGATTTCCCAACATACAGCGAAAAAGTGTTTGTTTGTCGTCTTCAAGTTTCTTAAATATTTCATAAAGACAATCAGGTGGGAGTATTTCCTTGGGTGTCTCTGTATTGTTATCTGTCATGCTTCTTGATTCTTAAAGAAAAAAATTATTGTTTGTTTTGAAAGTATCGACGATGCGCTAAAAACAAATGTCAATTTTGCTGTGCGACGTCTAAAATAGGCTAAGTAAGTCGAAGATAATCTTGAATTCATTGGTGCAAGTGTGAAAATGCATGTGCACAGACTAATTATCGGAAAATTATTATATCAATTATAAAAGTCCCTAATTTCTCTAACGCATACTTAACAATGTAACACGTAGCCTTGAATTATAAGGAAGATTTATCGATATCATTCTTGTTTCGTTTTAATAAATTTCGCTGTGATTCGCGAACATTCTAGTATTGAAGATGAACAAGGTTGTGTCGGCGATCACACGGGGAATAACAAATGATCTGTCGACAAACAATAAATAGCAAAGAAAGATACTTCAACAAAGAGCTAGCATGTATAATGCGGTATTACACACAGACCTCGATTGACCAAAAATGATGAATGATTTTTTAGATAGTCATGCATCCATCATAAGAGTTTCAGATGCTCACAACTTCGAATTCCATAGAAGTATGGTAACAGGTTTCTATAATAATTAGTGATCATTTCCCTGAACAGGGATAAATGCATATTGGAAGTTACTCTAACTATATACAGTTAACATGATAAATATAAATAAATACTGTATATATATACAGTACCTAGATATTTATAAATTTGCCTCCTTTCCTTTAAACTCAAAACAATATCATTCATTGTCTTTTAAAAAAGGGTGTTTTTTTTTTTTTTGGCTGTATCAAGTCGGTTTTTTCTCTGCTGTTTGCTAATATTTAGCGTTAGGTTGTTGCTATAAATTATCAGCTACATCATCTGGCGCACATATCAGCAGATTATTATCATTGTTAACTTATTTTTTTGTGATATTATAGCCTTACTAATATTATATAGTTAGTCGTGATAATATTAATCATAACGACGACAATACACACCAAAAAAAAAAAAAAAAACAAAAACAAAAACGTCTTTGGCTTTGTAACAATATACACGTAAATATATACACGCATCTTACAATAATAGATAATATTCTCCGGAAGAAATTGGTAACGGTTTTGATATTCTCGATTATAAAATAATGATTTTGAAGGATTCTGATCATAATCTTCCATTTTATAATTAGTAGAGACGAGAGGGAAAAGATCATTGATTGATTTTTTTTCTTTGGTGAATGAATAAATAAAAATGATGATGACGATGATGAACACAATTGAGGAGGAAGATGAAGTTAATATTGAAAATAAGATGAATGAGAAAAGTAGTCGACGGTATTTAATTAATAATCAAAAAAACATTTCAAAAAGTAGGAGTAACGGTAGTATTAGCGGAGGAAGTGATGTCGACAGTAGCAGTAATAGTAGTAATAATAGTAAAAAAGGTATTAATTCATTATCAGCAAAGAATAAAAATCATATGATATTGAAAGATGAACAATATAGATTAGTGGAGGAACCACTTTCAATTATTTCCCCTACGACGACAATTAATTCATTATCAACAAAGAATAAAAATCCTGTGATATTGGAAGATGAACAATATAGATTAATGGAGGAGCCACTTTCAATGATTTCCCCTACGACAACAGCAAGAACATCTCCAGCACCGCAAAGTTCACGTGCACCATCTCGTGCCAACTCAAGATCAAGATCTTCATCATTGGCACCATCAAGACCAGCATCACGAGCCAGTACACTTGGACCAAATCGATTAACAACAGCAGAATTACTTGCAAGGCCAGGTTCACCAAATGACGATGTACACCAACTAAAAGAATTAGCACAACGTAAAAATCTAATATATATCGGGATTCCGGCGATTGTGGATGTCCCGTCGACGCGATTAAAAGAGACAACACGTGGCGTATTTCATATTTATAATCCAACTCAAAATTCAATCTCGTGGAGCCTGACGCCCAAATCCGCAGTATATTATAAACGAGTGGAGTCTAAATCGAATACACTAGGACAAAAAGTTAATGATGAGGTGTTTATAGTGATGAAACAACGTGGATTCCTAAAATCTGGCCAATCAGAACGTGTTTATATAAATTACACTCCATTGGCTGTTGGAATTTACACTCAGAAATTTGCATTGGGTGAATCAGAGACAGCCGATATTGGTGAAGGTGAAACGGTAGAATTACAAATCGAAGGAGCTGGATGGCCAGCTGCAACTCAACGTAAAGACTCGATAAAGAAAGAAATTAAGTTTGAGGTATCCGAAAAAGAAATACGAATTCCAATGACAAGGATTGGAAAACAACGAACATTAGGAATTAAAATTGAGAATCCAACAAAAGAAACGATACGACTTAAATGTAAATGTGAAGTCATAGGAGCGACATTACTCGGACCACCTGTTCTATCAATTCCGCTGTCAAGTTTAACTATTAAATCAGGTGCAACGGTCACACTGCCAATCTGTTTTCATCCACGGAAACGAGGAACTATCAAAGGATTGGTCACGGTGAGTTCACCATTGAGTAAGACAGAAGTAAAAGTTGATGTGACAGCGCAGGCTGTTAGTGCGAATTATCGAGATGGAGCTGGGACTGGATCAATTGGATCTGGTATTGAATTAACGAGATCAATGTCATCGATGAGTGGATATTCAGTCGCACCAAGTGAAGCTGGAGGAAGTAGTGTTTATGGTGAAGAAAGTGGTATTAAGGGTGATGAGATTCTCAATGCAATGATGAAATCAATACATGAATTATCAGAAAGTGATAGCAATAACTCGGAACAATCAAGTAGTTTAATTGGTGATGTTGAAAAAATAGAAGATAAAGAGAAATTGGGGGAAAGTAGTAATACAAATTCTGAATCGGTAGAGAATACAACGATTGATACTACAATAACATCAGAAACATCGACTACTAATGTTCTAGAAGATGACCCTTCATCGAATGGATCAACTGATACTACTAGAGTGGAAGAATCCACGAATTCATCATAGAGTATAGGATCTACGATCTACTGAAAGAGAGAGAATCTCCCCTTATTTATTTTTGTAAATTTTTGTGATTTTATTTAATTTTTTGGATTGGCTGTATTAAAAATAACTTTGGGAGAGGGTTTCGAGTTTTTATTTGTATTCGTTGATAATAATATTAGTATTATTATCCGTTGTTATTTTTAGTTTCGTGTAAAAAAAGATAAGCATTTTTGATTTCATAGATATACTCTCCGAAAAATTATCAGATTTTTTTATTTAAAAAATATAAATACATTACTCGATTTCTTATTGTTATCATGTCATATGACTGATTGTACTTTAGAGTAAATATATTCATTCATAAAAAAGGTATAAGAATTAGTATTATTAATTATTCATTATGAATATGAATTAATTTTTATCTTCTTGTATTATAACACATTCTTCTAAGATAGTTTAATTAAATTATGAAAAGAATTCTTGTCAATTTAATTGTCATCAAATAAACGAGAATTTCATTCAATTAAGATAAAAGATCAACCCCATTGAGCAGCACGTGAAAAATCATAACCTGAATATGGGGGAAATCTCAAAGAAAGGGGCAAATCTTTTGGTAATCCAGGAAGTTTATATCTGGTTATTGGAACTTGAGATTGTTGATGGTGTACAGCAGATGACTGGCGTTGTGTTTGACTGTATTGTACTTGTGAATTCTGCACCAAGTTTCCCTCTCCTGATCCTCCTTCTCCGAGCCCCAAAAATAACCCCTTTTGCTGTGCGTTCAGCAAATGCAAATTTCGAGATAGATAAATCGCAGGGTCAACTTGCGAGAAATCAATCCCACCATTAACATGTGAATACCGACAACTTAAACCAAACTGACAATATCCGGTATCCTGAAATTTTCGACATGCTGGTCGCTTCACATTCTCCAGCAGCAATTCCACCGGGTTTCGAAAGGAGTCGTAATGCAATTTTACGGCAAGTTGATGTTGGGCACCATCCAAATGCTTTTTTCGGGCACCAGCGTTGTCTGGGAAAGATCGATCACAGTAGTCGCAATAGTATTTCCTCACCATTTTCTAATAATAATCTCGGTTTTTAATATCATTATATGTATTGATATGAATACTAGTATATCAATAAATATAAAAAATAATCTAGTTAGCTATCTACGATAATACAAATACAATGGTCATATAGGTCACACCAACGAGGGATATAAACAGTAGTACAGTTCATTGAACCGTTACATGATTTTGAAACTTATAATGTACGCGATGGTATTTTTTTGGATAACACATTTTCTTCCGCTTTTTATAAATTATTGAATTTGAAAGAAATGACTATAAAACGAAAAGTAATAATACTGACAGGTGGAAACTCGGGCTTAGGGTAATTACCTTTCGTGCATTTCAAAGACAAAAAATGGTACGCGAAAAATTAGACTAATTAATCCCACTATAATGTCAAAAAAAAAACAGATATGAGGCGTTGAAGCAATTTCTAACGCATCAAACTCCATATCACATTATTCTGCCGGTACGTAACCCAACCTCTGCACAACCCACATTTTCAGAACTTGAAGTACCCAAACAACATATAGTTGAAAGCACTAAACTTGATCTGGCCTCGTTTGATTCTGTATGGACGTTTGTTTCGTGGTTTTTGCAAAAAGGGCTACGTTTACATATTCTGATCCTAAATGCTGGTAATTGGTAGCTTAATCATGTGATGATTATATATAGATTTATTTCTAATTTTGTTTTTCGATTTTTAAGGTGTCGTATTTACTGAACTTGGAAAAACTGCAGATGATTATGAGCGCACTTTTCAAATAAACCATCTTTCAACCTTTTTACTTGCGCAATTACTTCTCCCACACTTGTTAATCTCTGGGCCGGGTTCACGAATAGTTTTTGTGAATTCTGCACTTGCTGGGCGTGGTGAAGGTCCGAAACTAGAAGTTGATAATTTGGATGGTAGTAAAAAATATGATGGGATGTTATTTTATCGAAATTCTAAATTGATACAGATGTTGTGTGCGTATCATTTGGATAAAATATTGGAAAAGGAGGTGGTGAAAGTACAAGGTGAAGGTGGAAAGATCGAGGAAAAAAGAAAAGTCACAGTGGTGACATTGGATCCGGGATTTGTGCCAAGCACTAATCTGTATAGAGGTTATCATTGGTTTCTAAAATTTCTGATGAGATCCTTTGTGCCTTTTACCAGGACGCCACAACAGGTTAGTACGGTTTTTTTATATTGCAAGTTTTATGTTTTAATAATTTACTTATTTTCATCAATCATGTACATAAGGGTGGCACGGTAATAGTAAAATCATCAATTTCTCCTACACTTGAAAACCGTAATGCATCTTGGGTAAATGAATACTGCGGAATTGCACGGTCGAGCGATGAAAGTTATGACGAGGAAAAACAACAATACTGGTGGGATCTGACTTGTGATATTGTTGGTCTGAAAGATAAGAAATCAGACCATAGTTAATATATTTGAAAAAATGTTAAATATGAAGCAACAATGTGCGGAGATGGGTACGTGTTCTTTGGAGATTGAGCATGAGAGATGATTCTTGGGCAGAGAAATTTGTGATAATATTTTGTATTAATATCTATTTAATTCGGAAAATCAGATGAAACCGGATTTCATTTGGTTTTCTTTTAACATTCTGTAATAATGGTTAATTAATAATTTTAGAAAATATTTATTTTAATCTGGATTGACTTTACGCTAGATTCGGGCCACGTGATTTTAAGTTTTTAGTGAATGTGCATATCGATATATGCATGCAATAATGCAATGCACAAAGCAAAAAAAAATAAGAAGCTTGGTATTGTATTTTTCAGAATAGAGATGATGATCTATACATATATATAATATCATGGGCTAACTAAAAGTCCGACATCGAAAACAATAAATAATAACAATAATATGCATATCGATATGATTTCTGTATGTACTTTTGACGAACAATGTCATTCATTATAAATATACAAAAAAGGAAGGTTGGGGTGAATAGATTCCAAGTTATTTTTCTTTCACTTGCTATCATATGATTTTTTTCGTAAATGCCATCATCATCATATTTTACAAGCTAAATATTTCAATAGCTTTTTATTGCGGATATATTTGTTAAATCAGCTAATAATATGAATGAAATTGGATAATTTACATGAATTACATTATTATTATTTTTATTTATTAATATGATGATGACGACATTTTTTATGAACAAATGCAATAAAAAAAGGGAGAAAAATTATATAAAGAAAGGAATCAAATATTGGGAAGGGAGTTTTAAATATACGCTTAACTGGCTAACAAGATTTAATTGAAAAGAAAAAAGAATGAGTCGGGATTGTTTTTGCTGGTGAATATGTGCGCATATATACGAGTTCAAGTAGAAGGAAAAAGATAGATCAAAATCAGTCAGTCTAATAAGATCGAAGAGGTGATGACGTCCCATGCAATTCTTATTCAAAGACTCAAAAAGAGCAAACTGACAAGTTTCTCGTAAAGTTTCTAATGCTAAGTCAACAACTTCATTTTCCAATGCACAATCTAATGATTTTTCAGCCGATCGTCGACCATAATCGGCAACTTATCAATCGCAAGTAAGCATATGTATGAAGCATCCATCCAAAATATCTGGCTCGAATTAATATTTACAGGACTTCACGAGTCTCTAATTTTTTCTTATTATTGTTATTAGAAACAGCAACATCAGCATTAGTACCTGATTTACTATTAGTCCACTTATCATAAAAGTCTCTGCCCATTTCTGTCACACTAGCAAATCCAAGGCCCATTATTCCAGGCCCGTTTACTCTTCGTTCTGAAGTTTCATTCTTTTTAATTTCGCTTGCTCCACCGACAGTCTCTTTCGATATTTCATTTGCAGCTTCTCGGGGTGTTGGCCTCTCTCCCTGGGAGAAATATGAAGCATATACGCTAAATGAGTTGCCACTTAGATAACTACTCGTCGGCAATTTCTCCAACAATGATTGTAACGACGATGAAGATGACGATGTGATTGATGAAGGTGACAAAGGTGGTGGTGGTACTGTTTGTTGGCAAGACGCAGTTATATCAGTAGATATTGATGCCAAAGATGCAGTTGATTCCGTTGGACTAGGAACAGTAGTAGGTGACGTGGGAGTAGTAGGAATTGTTGGTGACATTAAAAAAGGAATTAACTTTGCTAAGGGAGCCATGGCAAAAGTTCCTTCTGAATTACTGGAAACAGCCTCTTTTAAACGATTAACTGATCGATCCCGAGGAATAATAATCTTCTTAGCTACATGTAATCCTCTCCCGGTTCTATTTCCATCAGGGTTTTCTTGAACCCCACAATTATTACCACCTTTATTGCTAATGTCTGTGTTAAAAGGCTTATCTTTCCTAAAACTGCCTTCATGCGGCGGAAATTGTGTTCCATTATTTTCGCCCGTTCCTTGATTGAAGAAATGAGGATCATTCCCACCTTGGTCATCCCCACCTTCCAGATCTGAATCGGCGCCTGGATCATCAGCATTTTCATTTTCACTCGGACGCATTCTCAACCATTGCATTCTTGGTCCACTACGGCTTCTTTCATTAACCTTAAATCCGAAAATTTTTGGTTCATATATAAGATTCTGCGTTCTCGGCAGTAAATCGGGGTATAATTGGAAAAGGAGATGCGGAAATGTTGTTCCAAAGTAGGCACCTGAATGGAAAGACAAAGTTATTATTTAAGTACTACTAAAAGAAAATTAACTAATAAAAATGCCATTACCGTCAATATTATGATATCGTGAGCTTGGAGGTGTATACAGATCAAGGCAATTAGGACAAAATAATTTGACGGTTTCCAAGGCGGGTATGTCGTTTCTACCACATGGAACTACAGGGCACGATTGGCAGTAAAATCTTGGGCAAGTACCAAAATGAGTCGATTCGTATTTCTCAACCTAAATGATCGAATATCGTGTAAACCGAAACTCATACATTCAAATATATTTAGTATGTAAATTTTACTTTACCATTTGTTGTAATCCCTGACGTGTTATAATGTAGCGTTGATGTATAAGACCGTAAAGCAATTCAGCTGAATTTTCAACAATCGATACATCCGGGACTTTCGTCTCTTCTTCTTAGGACGAAATTAGAACAAATTAAGAATAGCGTTAGTTTGAGTTTTAACGCATGTATATTCGATAGATTCACGAAATGGTATCTTTCTTAAGAAATCGATGATAAAAATAGGGAGGTTGAAGAATAAATGTCTTTTTTGTACACACACGCTCGCACACACATACACACTCTTTATAATCCCAAAATCTCAACGAACCTATTCGCCCTCTTCCCCTTCCCTGCCTTATTTTTTGAGCTTTTATATAGTAATCCACAGAAATAATTATCCAGCGAAGGAAAGACCAAACCAAAAAAAAAGATACCTGTACTGGCTAGAAAAATCAACTAGACCAATAAAACATATACATCAAGCCATTCTTACCGGGTTCGACATCCAATATCATTTCCAAAGCCTCTTTATAAAATGGTACCATCGAATTGAGGCCTGTTAAATTGAAATCATCTTCGATGAAATCTTCAGCAACCTCTGCAAAATATTCGTGTCCCGTAAGGGAGCAAAACCACGAAATCCACGTAAGGGACTCGGTTCCCGAATCATTAGAAGAATCGGTATCTGGACATGTGAAACAGACAAATAATAAAAGGCATTCGCAGTGTTGCTGGTTAGATCGGCTATTTCTGAATAGTTTCTTTTCAGGATATTTGACGCGGATGGCACTTGTTATTACCATAATATCTTGACGTAAAAGCATTTGTTTCACGCAAATTAATTTCTTCCTCTTCTTCCTCCTCCTCTTCATCTTCTTGTGAAATTGGGTCCTTACTTGGTTCGTTTGTAGTATTAGCCTGACTTGTAGGTGACGTTGTAGAATTCCACATGTTTTAGTCAAAAGAAATTTTTGTTTGTTCTTTTTAAGTTATGGCCTTATCTTGGTTCAAATTGAATACGTCACGTAATTAGATCTCCATTACAATCTAACCAAAAACTTTTGTATATATATATAACGATAATGACCTAAAATTCGAATTAAAAAAATGGATAGCGATAGTCGGAATTTAGAAGAAAAGAACCGTTATATAATATCTAGATATCTTCCCCAGGATCATATGAATGAATCGTGGTCGGAGAATTTTTTTATTAAATGCACCATTGTTTGGATTTCATATTCAGTTTTCACTATGCGAAAAAAATGTACCGCAACGAGTCATGAATCATTTTAAATACCAAATTCAAGAATAATCATAAATGATAATACTAAATAAATATAATGATATCCAAAATTGAGTAGAGCTTCGATTTTACAATATTCCATTACTATAATATTGAAAAGTATCATACAAACGCGTAAATACATTACAACAACTACTCATTATTAACCGCTCAACAAATTCTTCAAATTGTGGCTCGGTGAGCGATAATTGAAATCTATCTTTTAATTGCGAGGCTGTTATTTCTCCATATGCAAAACAGGGTAATTTGGAGTCTATTTGTAAAAAATTTAAATGCTTGTTAAAAATCTTAGCATTGGTATTAAGAGAAAGATTTTCATGTTTAAAATTGAAATAATACCTTTTTGCATCATTTCAACCAATAGCACTATGTTATCAGCATGTTTTCTTAGAGCAGTAAACGCCTGTTTTATTAGCGTTTTGAACTCGTTGAATTTTTCGCTTGTTACCCCTCCCAAAATATCCAGGTATTCTTGAGATAATTTGAATGGGGCCAATTCAAACCCAACAGATCCAGGAGAATTTGATAGCATAAAACCAAAGTCTATATCTATTATGACAATGTGCCATGATGTTAGTTTGAATTATGCTATAACAACGAGTATACATTCTATTGGATATAATCCTTACGTATTAAGTGTCCGTCTGTATCTAATAATACGTTGCCATTATGACTATTTCAAACGTAAAAAATTAGCAATAAGATAACAGAGATGAAGGATGAAAAAAGAAAACGCGTTTACCGATCTTTCACTTGTAAAATATATGACACGAGTGAATAAGCAGCAAGACTACGCATAAAATTATCTTGCGCTCGAAGAAAAGCCTCGGATGAAACATCACCAAATGTCTTTTTGAAGTAGAAAATAAGTTATATGAAGGATGTATTGTTAATGAAGATGAAAACCTTAATCGGTGTGTATAATGAACAAAGAGTAGTAAAATTGAATTGACGAGTATACCTTTACAAAGTAATCGAACAATGTAAACATAAACCCTTTCTCATTTAATCTCTTGGCGTAAGCATCTTTTTTAATAGAATGTATTGAGATTGAATTTGTAATAGTTTCAATTAAACCAGAATTGTCTGATGTAACTAAAACCCGGTAACTAGATGAATATAAATAATAGCAATTAATCAATGTGATGAAATTCACGCAAAAATAGAACTACGCAGTCAGCACATTACTTACTATTTGGCCCAAACATCGACTCCGGCATCCTGCCATATTCTTTGCATCTCTTTAATCAATTGACAAGCAAGCTGTTCTTGTCGTAAATCTGCCCCTGTTTTAACAATAACAGATAATAGTTGCCAATTTGGGTAATGGCCATAAGGTGAGGCTTTGCGTATCCGTTGCTTTTTTGTTCCCCAATCTTCCCTAAATACAGCGGCTAAAAATCATGATATACTTACTATTAAGTTGAAAGTTTCATTTTACTTTATTTCATAACGCGTTTAGCCATTAATCTAATATTTCAATTATATACCTACCACTAGGGTCATCCTTATTAACGGCATTCAATACAAGCTTTTCATCTTCTAGCATTTCACCTCCGCCACCTTCGCCACCACTTCCACCTACGCCACTAGTAACTCCTTCAGTAGTCATTTTTAACATTCTTTCTTCCTCTAAAGTCATCATTTCTTTGATGATTTTCTGCCTTATTGCTTCTGTATCAGCCTTTGTCTTTGGGGTAGTATTAGATGCGCCAGCAACTGTAGATGTACGCCCTTGTTGTGCAGTATTTAATTGAGCGAGCATTACAGCAGCAGTTCGCATTCTTTCGGCAAATTCATCGGCAGAGTTGGATAGTCGACGATTCATTACTTCTTTAAGGTATTCAGTGTTGGATTCAGATAAAGATGACGTTGAAGATGAAAAAAGAGGGAAAGAAAGTTTATCGCTTTCATCATTATCATTTTCATTAGATGGTAGAGCTGTCATCTCAGTTTTTGTAGAATTTTGATCATAATGTTTAATTGAGGATAAACTCGGAAGGTTCGAAGCTTTGTCTAATGATTCAGCCCTCTTAGAAGACCTTGATGATGGTAATTTCAGATGGGCAACTGATGGGGATGACAAAGTACTTGAAGGAGGAGAAGAGGCTTGCTTATCTGAATCATATAATAATTCTGTTTCTTTTTCTACCTCAGTTATTGGTTTATGTAAAAATTTATGTTCCTCTTGCTCTTGCTGTTCGATCTTTTCGAATGCTTCTTTCTCCTCTACTGATTTTCCTTTCTTTTCTTTTTTATCTAAATCAATATCCAAAAAAATTGCTGTGTTCTCCTTGGTAGAATTGGTAAAATGATCCGAAGTCACTTCATTATGATCATGGAGACTAGCTTCGTCTTCAGGTATTGGTGATTCAGCTGTTTCTCCAACAGGCTTGTCTTCGTGAAGTAGGCGATTTAAAGGTCGACGTATCTGTAGTTTTGACATATCGAAACTCGCATCTTCCTCAAGTACTTCGACCATTAATAAATAAGGTACCTAACAACAAAATTAATCTATGTAAGAAATATCGTTTATTCGAATATAATTTAGTTTCCTTGGCTATAAACTTGATATAATTTTACCCTATCCGCAGAATTTAAGACCACCGCATCGCTAGGTGAAATTCTTACAACGCGATGGTGAAATGGGTTTTCGGACGTAGATGGACACCAAAGGGGTATACAAATCTCTGCTGGTAAGTTATGGTTGAGTAAAGTTAATTCTGCTCTCAAAGTACTTAATCTTGTTTCTCTGGGAACAATAATCAATCTTGTCGAAATATCTTGCAATGCTAGCAAGAACTGCATTTCAGAATGAAAAAAATTCCCTTTAAGAAGTCGTCTTTGTCTCTCTGGACCAGATTCTTCCGCTTCATCTAACAAATTTTTATTGGATACTTCACGTGATGCACGTAAATGCGAAAAATCAATATCGTGTTCGTCTGTTAAGGTATTATCTGACGGAAAAGATGCAGACTGAGGCCTGGTTTTTGTGATGCTGACGCCGGGTTTATGTAAGGAAAATATATTTCCTTGATGCAAATCTGTTAGTGATGGAGATTTCAAAACTTCTTCAGTAACGCCAATTCGAAGATCAGGAGAAGATGATGAAAAAGAAGAACGAGACAAACTTCGCGTATGCGGTTTATTAACATTGGTTGAAAGCGAATGTTCATTTGAGGTAATTAAGGAAGTGTTGTTAGCGAAAACCTCTACCGAAGTTTTCGATTGAGATTCACTTTCTACGTAAATATTGAGTGTATGGTCTTTCTCCAAAGCTTCTTTCTTTCCTCTTGGGACACGAGTATCTTTAGATAAATCGCTATCCTTTCTTACTGGATGAATAATCACCTGATCATGTACTACGCTTTCTTTTTCTGTGTGCGACTTTATTTCATCATGCGTATTACTATCTTTAGATAAAATTTCTTTATTTTCTTCTTCCACCAATGTCTCATTTTTTGTCTCGATTAAAGGATCATGTGGAAGAGAATCATCTTTATGCAAAGCTCCTTTTAATATTTCTTCCGCTGAAAATTCGGATTGTGTTTTGGTTATTTGCATTGTACCTGTCGCGGTTTTTCTTCGTACATGCCCTCCAGTCGGGCCATTAACAAATGACCGTAGTCTTCTACCTTGTGCGATAGCAATGTGACCTGGGCTTTTCATTAACATTGGGGTAGCAATCCCTGCGAGCATAGCACCAATTCCCACGAATGCTGGAAATGTATTTTCGCGTACTTTTCTTGGAGAACAGTCACGATTAGTCACGCCTTTATCTTCAGCATTCTGATTCTCGGCGAAAACAATTGCCTGACATTTATTCAACACTCGTTTACACACGGCGAACGCAGGCGAATTAGGATTCGATGACAAGTCTGACCGGTAAGCTTGCAGATACCACAATGTCTAAAAGAGATCAAATCATTAGGGATTTTAGGCGCATTTTGAGAGGATTGATAGGTGAGATTGGATGTTTGTTGGATTCAAATAGTAGTAACTACTCCACAATACCAGAATTGCCATGTGTGTTGATTTTTCGCAGCTCTCTAGTATAAAACATTCCAACGCGACCGATTCTGTTGTGCGACTTATGAGCAAGTGGCTTTAATGTGAATGATAAGAAAAAAGAGAGTATTAGATCAATGGATTTCTTGTGATAATTGAAATCGAACTACACGTGTATCCCTCTGAACTTAAAAACACATACTATCATTGCAAAGAATATAATTTTAAGTAAAACAACATAAACCTTTATTTACCAAAGTTGCGGCAAAAAGAACTCAATTTCCGACATTGGGAATTTTTTTAATTCATTGCATAAATAATGCTGAATCCCAATCGAATCAGGATATTTAAATAAGTAAGAGATGGCTATCCAACTATTAAAGAAATCACTCTGGAACAATCTCAAAAGGAGGGACATTTTTAATAGAGATGCTTAAATACTTTCAATTCAACAAAACTAAACTCTGTAAAATTATAAAAATTTTCAAAATTTTCAAAGTCTCAAAATCGAGACGCGATCTTAAAGGTTGTGACGAGACGATAAATCAACCTAGAGGTTAAATGAACATTCCCAAAGATATACAGTCTGACCTCCCTATAATCACACCCTCGGGAAATGAAAAACTGTGATTATATTGATTTTGTGATTATATGGGAGGTGATTATATGGAGGTTCGACTGTATTGTTATGATTGGGTTGATCTTGTTTAATGTAGCATAAAATTTTTTTCTTTTGAAACTTAGTTCGTCACAATGTCGAAACCAACGAAAACGTATGTATAAATAAGAAAAGCGTTTAAAAAATTGGGTAGCTTACTTTTTGAGTATGATTACGTATAGTACTCTTGAAGATACTCTGTTTTTCTCACTAAGAAAAGGGAGTATTCGAAGGATATGGGAGTTGAGGCTTGTGTAATTCACATATGTTCTTCTCTCTTTAAATTTAAGAAAGTCTGCACGATAATTTGTATCGTGGACGTTAATCCCAATATATATTGGGGATGTGTTGGTTGTAAATGTCATTTGCAACAATGACTTACTCCAGTAAAATTTATCTGTCGGGTGTACAAAAAAATTAAGAAATGATTGTAATTTGTATCATCGTGACATTAATTCTTCTTCATATCTACGTGTGTTGCTGTGGTCCGGGTGTCGTTGCTCTGATTTTGAAAATCAAATTACAGAACCACTGCCACCGCTGAGCAAATTCTAGTACCTGAAACTCTTTTGGCAAAGAGGAAACATCAGGACAAGATCCACGAGGAAAAGGCCAAAGCTCGGATAGAACAGCGAAAGGTTTGATAATCAAATTTATTATTATTAATACAATAAATATTTAGAACCTCTAAAGTATTATTAACTTAGCGACTGATTTCATGATGACATTGGGTTCCAACCCACTTAAAACTAAAGCCTTTTTGGCATATGTTGACTTATCAAAATTACCATCTTTCGGGACTGATCCAGTCAAAATTCAATAGCTAGATTCATATATTATATTTCTATCTCCTTTCCTTATATTTTTGTCTATTTGAATATTAGGCTGCTCTCCAAAAGCGTAAAGTGATATTCAAACGTGCTGAAAAGTATGTCAAAGAATATCGCTCAGAAGAGCGTAACCAGATTCGTCTTCGTCGTATGGCCAAAGCTTCGGGTAACTTTTATGTACCTGCGGAACCTAAATTGGTCTTTGTTATTCGTATTAAGGGGTGAGATTAAAGGAATTTGATGCATTTATTCCGAGTTTATAGGCGATATTTTTCTCAAGCTTTATTATCATCAATTCTTGAATATATAGTATCAATAAAATTGCACCAAAACCACGCAAAGTTCTTCAACTTTTACGTCTTCTTCAAATCAATAATGGTGTATTTGTTCGTTTGACCAAAGCAACTAAACAATTACTCCAATTAGTCACTCCTTATGTCGCTTTTGGTGATCCAAATTTGAAGTAAGTTCCATTTAATAATAATATTTAGTGGATTAATGTTCAATCTATCTCTTTATTTTTCCCTTAGGTCTGTCCGTGAACTCATCTATAAGCGTGGTTATGCCAAAGTCAACAAACAACGTATTCCTATAACAGAGAATACGATTATTGAAAAAGAGCTTGGAAAATATGGTATTATTTGTATTGAAGACTTGGTTCACGAGATTTTCACTGTAGGGCCCAACGTAAGTTTATAAAGATTTAAATTTATGTGAATAATAACTTTGCTTCTAACCAATTTAATGTGTTCGTATATTTTATAATAGTTCAAGCAAGCCAACAACTTCCTTTGGCCTTTCAAACTCTCTAATCCCAACGGTGGCTGGAATACGAGGAAATTTAGGCATTTTGTGGAGGGCGGAGACTTCGGTGATCGTGAACATAGAATTAATAAATTGATTCATCTCATGCTCTAAACTATAAACTTAACCTCGAAATAAAAGATAACGGTTTTTCCAGCCCCTGTTTTTTATTTCAATGTAACGAGTTCTATTATCAAACCTTAGTTTATATAGCGAATTAATTAAAAATGGATGCAAAAAATAGAAACATCTAATCAAAACATTAAAAATATTGATCATAATAAAATCAAAGTATTTTAAAAAATATGCTTTATATCTTCAAAAAATAAACAAATTGTGAATTCGTTTTTTGAGCAAAGCATATATTATAAGAAACAACTGGTTATTTTAAAAATATTGTTACTATTGGATATGTTTTATAAAGCTTCAAATATATGACATATTATTCATATAATTCAAGTCAAATGGAAAAAATAATAAAATAATTAAAGATTTTACAACTAAATTACCAAAGATAAATAATATACATTCATTTTTGGGAGCAGAAATTCAGAAATCTTCTTTTCAAATATAAAAGGTAAATATAATTATAACTCAATTAATAATTTATAAACAAATAAAATATTAATAACTTTAAGATTATACTTTAAGATTATAGTTTAGTAATATATATATATAAAAAGAATCTTAATCAGAATTTACATTCAGTAATAATATATTCTATTATATAAATTCAAACAAAATAGAAAAAGATGAGTTATTAAACTAAATCTAAGAGAATTCTTTTTATTTTTTATATTAAAATATATATTATATTTTAAATAAATTTTAAATATTAAATTATTAATAAAATTAACAAATAAAATACTCATACAAGTATTATTTAAAATATTAATATAAATATTATTTCAAGTACTAATTCTAAAAATAATTGTTTAAAAATATAAAAATATAATTATTCAATAAAAATATATAAATTTAAAATAATAAAATAATAATTTACATATCCTATAATAAATTACTAGAAATTCAAAAAATATATATCAAAATATAGTAAAAATTAAAATTTTTTTATAATAAAATTTTTATTTTTACTAATAAATATTCTTTGTTTTTATATCAAAATAAAACCAAGAATTTGTATTTAATATATATTTTTATAGATTTTTTAAATTTAATTTCAAAAATATTTCTAATTGTAAAGTTGATTATACAAATTTTTTATAATTCAAATTCAAATTTATTAAATTTTAATTATAAAAAAGTTTATATAATTAACATTACAATTAGAAATATTTTTGAAAAAATCTATAAAAAAATATAAAAATTTACAAGTTTTATATTTTATATAAAAGTTTTTAAATTTACTAGTAAATATTTTTTATTTTTATATTAAAATAAAGATGATATTACATATTTTAATATATATTTTTTTTAAATTTTTTTAAATTTAATTTGAAATCATATATAAAGTTAATATTTTTTTATTATAAAATTATTGATTTATATTGTTACAGTAGTAACATAAAAATCGTTAATTTCAAAAATAATTGATAAATACAAAATATTCAAAAATATTCATATAACAAGAATCCTTCTAAAAAAATTACTTTTCATCATTTTAATTACTTCTCATCATTTTCGATTTCTTTTCATCATTTTCCAATTACTTTTCATCATTTTTGATTACATTTCATCATTTTCTGATTACTTTTTATCATTTTTTATTACTTTTCATCATT